ACACCCCTGTTACCGGTGAGAGGTATTGAGAGGCCGGTAGTGTAGCCTACGTGAGGTGAAGGACTCGGTTCTTTTCCCTCATCGCGCGAGTTATTTATTAAAATGTGTTGGGCTGGATAGTAGAGCTGTGACCGACCATTCGACTTAACGATTCAACATTCACAAAGTTCCCACTAGTCGCAGCTAGATCTATTCGAAGCGTTGCGTTCAAGAGCTATGATTGTCGTGTGATTTAAAAAAAAAGAAACAGAATAGACTGACGTCGTATTTTTCTCAACTCGGCGCTAAATCACAGTATCTTATCATTATACTTAAATACTTTTATTTGTATCAAAAATTCTTGAGTGGGTGGTTGGCGGGTGCTCTGGTGTGGTTTGCTCCTTCTTTCCTATCAAACATCTATCGTCCTTATCTCCCCTTCCTTCTTTTTTTGTTTGTTACTCTCTTGTAACACCTCTAATCTTCTGGCGCTCATATGCCCTTATGCAGTTGCGAGCGCCGTAAAACCTCTACTAAAACAAATTAAAAGTTCTTGAGGAAAATACAGAAATACTGAGTACTTTATGAAAAGGAGACACAGTGATAATAATGTATGACTTGCTTTGTGTTAGTGAATATTGAATAATGAATGTTTCTGATGAACTAATCTATTAAACAACAACAACAACAACAACAACAACAACAACAACAACAACAACAACAACAACAACAACTAAAACCCAAAAACAAAACAAAACAAAATATAAAACAACCAACCAAATTAGTATTCGACTACGGTGTTCGAACATCATAAATACCGACTTTATGCTTCGAGGGTTCGATTAAGTTCCGTTTCCACAAAACAGCACAGCACGACTAGTGATCGGTTCATTCTGCTTCAGAGCTCCTCTTTACCGCGTGTTATTCGATTCAGTGATCTTAATTATTGGTGTGTATGTTATGCGCGTGTTGTGTGCTTGAGTGGAATTCCGTAATAAGTTCTGATCGGTCGGTCAGCCGAAAGAGTGAGTCACTATACTATGACCTACATTCTATTTATTTGTTTATTCATCATCATCATCATCATCATCATCATCATCATCATCATCATCATCATCATCATCATCATCATCATCATCACCATCATCATCATCATCATTGTAGGTAGCAGAGAATAAAAAAGGGGTTGAGACGTAGTACATTTTTCAAATTTAATAGAGGTTCAACGTTTCTACCTGTAAAGGGCTTCGTCAGGAACACGAAAAAATCATCATCATCATCATCATCATCATCATCATCATCATCATCATCATCATCATCATCATCATCATCATCATCATCATCATCAATGCCTTTCTCACCCTGGATCAGGATATAGGCCACTAACAAACACTTCCCAACTTCCTCTATCCTGGGCTAGCCTCTTGATGTTACTTTATGTCTTCCCACTTTTCTGTATTTGTTTTTTTTTTATTGTTTTTATTTTGTTTTTGTTTAATTGTTTTGTTTCTGTTTTATACTGCATTTATGTGTTGTTGTTTTGTGTTAAACCCAAGTGTTGATATTGTGTGCTGAACCTAAGTGTTATTATTGTGTGTTAAACCCAAGTGTTGATATTGTGTGTTAAACCCAAGTGTTGATATTGTGTGTTAAGCCTACTTGCTGATGTTTTATTTGACATTATCTGTTAAACCTAAGTTTGGGTATTGTGTGTTAAACCTTAGTATTGATATTGTGTGTTGGGTAGAGGATATGGGTAGACAGGATCTAGGGTATGGGTAGAACGGATGAAGGGTATGGGTAGAGAATAAGGGTATGGGTAGAAAAGATGAAGGGTATGGAGGTAGAAAGGATGAAGGGTATGGGTAGAAAGGATGAAAGGTATGGATAGAAAAGATGAAGGGTATGGGGGTAGAAAGGATGAAGGGTATGGGGGTAGAAAGGATGAAGGG